AGATGAGAGAGCGCGGGGACACCAGAGAGCCAAGCTCTGGCTGGAATGGTTAGAAGGGAGAGGCAAAGCTCGCTGCCTTTATCTGTACTCCCCGTTCGGGCGCGAAGGCCAGACACACCGGCTTTCGGATTTCGAACACGTTCGAAAGTCGAAAAGCCCTATTGCTCGATGCTCCGACGTCCCCTCGCGCTTTCGTTTTTTTTTTTTCTATTTTTTGTTTTTTGCCCGCATTGTGGCTTATCTTTTTTTGCCGCCAAGTCCGTTCTAAAGACGCTTCTTCTCTCTGCTTTCTAGTCCGTGCAATTCTTTCATTCTCAGAATCCTCGAACCCCGTTTTCCGGAATGTGGCGCCCGTTGTTTCTAAAATGGTGTATTAGAAAGACTGTATATTTGATTGGCACTCGTCTATATGTTAGGCGAGCACATTTTTAGCACGAGACACGGGACCACGGAATGTCCGCGCTTTTAGTCGCAGTGCCAACTTCCGCACGAGGCATGAAAAAGGCTCACCGTCACGCCAAAGGGGAAATGTTCCGTGAGGAAAAAAATATATAAAAGCTTTGAGATGCTTTTTCTGGCTTACCCACTTTATCCTGGTGCAGACCAAAAAAAAGTAAAAACAAACAAAAAAAAAACTTCAGGTTATTCTAAAAGACGTTGCTTGGAAAGACGTACCTTTGCCTGCTGTTCCATCTGAGACGCCATCCCCGGCAGTCTTTAAACAGTTCACACTAGAGAGATCGGGAACTTTTGTCCAACCCAAAGTTCTACGTCGAACCTCGGAATTCGATTGGTTCGTCGACCTTCGAACTTTTAGCAAAATTTGACGAAGTTCTACTTATGCACAGACTGTTGCCCCACCTCTACAGTCTACACACACACAAGAACCAATTCGAATTTTGGGAAACAAATCATAGTTGGAGTATTTTGTGGTATATTCTATAAAAAAAATTTACGATCATTTACACATCATAAAAACGAACCTTGCACGTTTAATTCTTTAGTTAGATTATTAATCTGAAAAAAAAAATGAAACAATGCACCCAATAAATATTCGTAGTTTTCCTTCTGTCGGGTGACGTCCGTTATTTTTCAATTTTCGCGCATGCGCACAGAAGGGAAGCTTTAGTCGAACCTTGATCGAACTTGGCGTGAGAAGTTCGAACAAAGCGAACTTGGTCGAAGTCGAACCTGTGGAGGTTCGCGGCACCTCTAGTTCACACAAAAAGCGGCACCCAGCACCTTTATATCCTCCCTTTTTGTTATTATATTTATGTTCACTTTGCGCTCCGTTCTGACGTCCTCATTACGGGGTTAGCGCGCGGTCCGTTCGAGGAAAGCTGGGAAGTGAGAATGCGAGACATTCGCAATGTCGTCAGAACTGCGTAGACTCTTTTGTGTGTACGTTCCGCGTGCGTAAAACTAGGCTTCTTGGAAGACATTATCACCAAGGATGAGAGGAGGAAGTGACGCTTAGTTAAACTCATTCCTTTAACCACGAGCTCAACTTTTACGTTTCCCGAGCGCACGTGGGGTTTTAAATTGTCGTAATCATAGTGCTGCCTATCCCACTAATCTCTCGCGTATTTTTTATTGTTTTTTAATAGTTAGGTTAAATGATGTTGCCTTTATTCTTTCGCAAGAAGCTGTGCCTCTAACTTCTAGAGGAAAACCTTTCGTAAGAAGCTGTGTCTAACTTTTAGAGGAAAACTGTTTTAAGGGTTCTGAATGGCACACAATTTTATTTACAGGTGCGTTTTCGGATTAAGGTCATATATAGTCAATACGAAGTTAGAAAAACATAAACAGGAGTGTCTCTGTCCCCAATTTGTGTTTTGCTTTCCTCGTATGGAGTATTACCTAAACACGCTCGTCAAACTCATCATCGTCATATATAGGGTCGCCATTCTTGCTTGCGTTCAGCAAATCTGTGGTCAAGCTCGAGGCCACTGAGATACTACTCTTATGCACATTTGAACATGATTGCACTGATTTGTGCGTGAACGCCAGGAAAAGAGCAGCCAGGAAATATTTCGATTTGTATATATTCAGTCTGGAATGCCGTGCGGCTGTTGTACTTAAAACATGTTGCACTTCCACCTTGTCGACGGTTATACTCTGATTTAATTAAAATTAGACTGAACTGGAATGGCTTCGCCCACTGAAACTTGCGCAATATTCATGTGGTGCCGTCAAAAGTAGGAACGTATGACGTTTTTTTAGTAGCGGTCATTTATTTTACAATTTAAAACCAGGTAAGACGTTCGTGTTCGGACATCCCAAGGTCGGTCTGCCTTTGGGGTATGACGACACTGATATCGGCTGTAGGAGATAAATTTAGCCACTGCAGTACGACCGCTATGGGGCCTTTAATGGCCATCGCGCTGTAGCGATACGCGACCGCACGCCGGCACGATAGCCGTTCAGACCAATATGAGCAGGGGTGGGGAGTGAGCCTCGGATCCCGGGTCCTGCAGCATAAGCTTTCGCTTCACTTGCTCTGAGCTCAAGTGCACTAACAGACACGCAAGCGTCTTCAAATAAGGCGTGCATTAGCCGTCCGAACTAGTTTAGAAATACACACGTGTATGACATCCAGAACAATTTAAAAAAAAAAAGTGAAGTACCGTATCAACGGTATATTTTCTATTCTCCAAAAAATCAATGTCAGAAAACACTTCTTGTTTCTTTGCAAGGAACCACCTAGAACCACCTAAGCGTGGTCCATTGTTGTGTTAAGGCTATCCGTAAGTTATTTAACGCGATTATTTCCGCCTTGTTATTTCACATACTAAAAGGAACAGTGTCATGCATGTTTCTGTGTATATAACCAACTAAGAAATATTACTTTTTTTCTTCTTTTCAGTAACAAATTTCGCTGCATCAACCCCGTGTTCCCCTTTCCCTAGTAAACTCGAGCGCGCTATAATTAATCCCAGTCAAACATGGAAAACTTCCTTTTCATTCTTCGGATATTAATCGAAGCCACGAGTTTCGCCTAGAAGCGAAGGGGAAAAAACGTATACGTTTCTATTAATGGCTTCTCGATCGTGCCAGAAGATAAACGCAAGGGGTCGCGGCGTATACCGAGCTCGATGAGTAGTGCGTAAGAATGTGCCTTCGCCGATGGAAACAAGCTCGGACGTCTGATTTCGCAAGAGCGCATCGACGCAACTGCGGGTTTCGCACGCCGCGCATAACCGGACGTTGAACCTGACCCGTGCGCGGCCTTCGGTCGGCTCTGGTAGGTGATGGGAATTCGTGATCAGAGCTCATCGTACTTTCTGCCGCCGAGCATGGCGCACTGGATGTCTCCACTCTGTGTACCTGCATCTGGCTTGCGTGGCGGACTATATACGGCGAGCAAAGGTTCCAAAATGCGTCTCCGGCGCATTGGAACGCCCGGAGTGGTAGGACAACCAAAGGGGAACATAGAGATCCCGCTGAAAGCGCGCGATGATGAGGCGGCCAAGTGCGTCATTCGTTGAGGTCGGAAGGGAACCAAACCCACGTGGCGACGTGGTCGCGTTTGGTGGGTAAACAAATGCTCCAGGTGCGCAAACAGCAGACGAACTTGCATGGGCGTATCAACCCAGGGGGGGGGGAAGAGGGTTGGGAGGGGGGGTGGGCGCTTGCCCCCCCCCCCCCCCTCCACAGTTTTCAGTGTGTGTGTGTGTGGGGGGGGGGGAGGCAGGCAAGGCATGTGCTTTGCCTTCCCTGAAACAGCCGCCACTGGGCAGGGCAAACTGGCTGACGGCGCCCAAGGGCACCTCCACCCGGCGGGGGCGGGTCTGGTTTGCCCTTTTTGCTGAAAAACGAGCTGGTACGCCACCGCGAACTTGCACGTTGCAGACCGTTCCAATATTTGCATTGTGCTGCGCGCCGCCATATTTGTCTACTGGGCTGTGTTGTACGCGTTCTGAGAGTACGCAGTAGCCTTCCTTCTGCAGAATAGCAGACGATGTGCCTGCGCCCTCAGATCAGCGAGCCGGCGCTTTCGGTCTGGATGGTAAGCGACGAAGGAATGCCTACGCTCTTCAAAATGAAAAAAAAAAAAAAAAAAAAAAATGATTGACTAAAATTGTGAATTGTGACAACCCACCCAGACAGTGGCGTTGGAGAAGAACGGGTATGAGGTATAAAAATATATAAACGCCTTAAATAAGGGCTTAAAACTTCCGCAATCGGAATTCAAATTACGATGCCCACCCCCCTCAATTTTTTTTCTAAAATGTTGCTTAACTGATTGGCTTTACATTGTAGTATCAAATTATGACGCTGTCACGCTTCAGCCCTAGCTGTGATTCTTTGGGTACGCAGCACAATGACGGAAAATCCGCGACATTCATTGCGAAGCCATTTACAATTCAGTATTGATTGTCTGACATGCATGCTTTATTTTAGGTCCCCCAACAGAATGCCGCCTTCATAAACCATACAGATTCTATACAGTAAATTATGCAAAGACTATTATAATAAACAAAAAAATCAGCGCCTAGCTGCTATTGTGTGAAAGGTCAATAAAAAAGCATTAGCGATATTCAAAGAAAACATAATCAACGCTTCAAGCTTCATTGTATATATAGATACAGCCCGGTTATGGTTGACCCATTGGAAGTATTAAAAGGCAACAGGAAACATCTGACTGCGACAGGTTGTTCATGAAACCTTGATGAAACTCTGCATGCCGTAAAACACAAAAAAAAAGTATATTTTCCGGTAGACAACCCTGCGTAAAAACAGAGTCGTGAGCATTTCTTTGCAAAGGCAGAATGGATTTCACCGAAGTTTTAGCAAAATATCGTAATATGTTGTATCAAAATCTCTATCGGCCATCAATCTTTCTAAACTCCTCTGCACATTTTTAACATATTCCGATTTCTTAACTATCAAAAACTTCTATGCAGATAAAAAAAAAATACATCCCTTGATATCCTTATAGTCTGCGATTTCCTGAATAGGTGGGTTATGAGAGAAACGACATCTTTGAGTATACCGCTATGCCAACTGCAAAGATCGTCCTGAAAAAGGACTTGGAATTCCTTGTACAGGACGATCCTTGCAGAAAGATAACAATCTTGCGGGTGTGTGACAAAAATACCAAAAAGAGTATGTTCGTCCAGGAGCGTATTAAAAAAAATAAAACCTGATATTTATGCGAAAGATTACGCGGAGTTTACAAGTCACGAATGAATCTCAGGAGTATATTATTTCCCATCAAAATATTTACGCTCGCAATGAAAATAACGAACAAACTCAGAAATCCGACTCCGGTGACTTTCACTGACAAGGGTCTCCCCCCTTTACTCAAATGACACAGCCATACCGTTGCCTCTGGAAGGGGCGCCGGTTAGTAAATTAATTATGTACTCTCTACCTTTTCCCTTCCTCCGCAGCAATTTTGTAATGTATTCAACCTAAAAAGAAAATATAACTATTATCTTTTTCTTGTCTCTTTTTCTGGAATCTCGCGCATAAAACCTTAGTTTACCTTATTTTTCACCGCTGTGTGCTCATGCGTCAGTGCATCAGTGTACCGCATTTTCCGGACCCGCGGACTACACATGTCTAGAAGTTGAAACTTTACGCAGTGCCCACTATCTGTAGGTGCGGACAATGTTAATAAGGATTTATGTATGCTAAAAGCTTCTTTGTCGTCTAATAGAGCCGGCATTTGCCAAGGTGGGGTGTGAAGCCCACAGCAGGTGCGAATTACGCACGAGGTGCAAATTATTTAGGAAAAAAACTTTTTTTTTCTATCGATATTTGTTTTTGCTTTTCTTCCCACCTGGTGCGGGCGAAAATACTGTACTCCTACCGACCCTTGCGGTGCCTCTTGCATTATTATAAATGGACCAATAATAAACGTAGCGCCCCTTGTCTAGCGGAGGACGCTTTCCAATTTTCCAATCATCGCGTGTTCTGTTCCCCCCCTTCGAGTGCTTGACCCTCTCACCACCAGGTGACGGGGCCGCGCCCGTTTTCGGTGCACAGGCCCGAGCTTCCCATTTCCCCATTTCCCAATTTATCCGCTGGGTGGCGTTGGCTCATTCGGCTCCCGCCATTACACGCACGCAGAAAGCCAAGGAAGGGATCATGCGCGCCATTGGCCAGCAGATGCTGAAGCACCCCGAGAAGACACTCGTGTCGAACGCAAGGATCGGGTTCGACCGGTGCCTGAGCTCCAGCTACGCGTACATGTTTCCCGAGACGGTGCTCAAGGTCGAGGAGGCCAGGACCGCGGGCCGCCTGATCGTCTCCAGGGACGCCTTCTACCACGCCATGGCCGTATACACCTTTCCCAAGGGATCGCCCTACGTGGCCACGTTCAGCAAAGGGTGAGGAACATAGCAATAATGCCCAATCTTTTTAGAGCGCAGCTCTTAGGGGCCCGTTCCCGGCTTGAGCGGCGTCGCCGTCGGCGTCGGCGTAACCAAGGTCACCCCAAGGTCATCACAAGGTCGCGTGACCCCCAAGGTCACGTGACACCCAAAGTCCCGTGACCCCCGAGGTCACGTGACCTGACCCTCCCCCCTCCGAAGTCACGTGACACCCCCTGAGGTCACGTGACCGCCCCCAGGGTCACGTGACCCCCCGCCGAGGTCACGTGACCTCCCCGATGACGTCATCGTCACTGATGACGTCACCGGCATCCGCATCGTCCCCATCACTAATGACGTCATCAGTGACGTCACTCATGGCCTCACCGGCATCCGCATCGTCATCGTCATCATCACTGATGACGTCATCAGTGACGTCACCGGCATCCGCATCGTCATCGTCATCATCACGGATGACGTAATCAGTGACGTCACTGATGACGTCACCGACATCCGCATCGTCATCGTCGTCATCCCTGATGACGTCATCGGAGTCCGCATCGTCATCGTCACTGATGACGTCATCAGTGACGTCACTGATGACATCATCACGTGACCCCCAAGGTCACGTGACTCCCCAAGGTCACGTGATCCCTCCAGGTCACTTCACCCCCCCCCCCAGTACCCTTCCCTCCTCCTCCTCAAGAGCTGCGCTCTAATTCGGTGTTATAGGGAGTTGTAAACGGCTTTCACTTTTAGAGCGCAGCTCTTAGGGGCCCGTTCCCGGCTTGAGCGGCGTCGCCGTCGCCGTCGCCGTCGCCGTCGGCGTCGGCGTCGCCGTCGGCGTAACCAAGGTCATCCCAAGGTCACGTGACCCCCAAGGTCACGTGACCCCTCCAGGTCACGTGACCCCTCCCAAGGTCATCTCAAGGTCACGTGACCCCACGTGACTCCCAAGGTCACGTGACCCCTCGAGGTCACGTGACCCCTCCCAAGGTCAAGGTCACGTGACCCCAAGACCCCACGTGACCCTTTGAAGGTCACGTGACCCCCAAGTCACGTGACCCCTCTGAGGTCACGTGACCCCCGAGGTCACGTGGTCTCCTCCCCAAGGTCACGTGACCCCTCCCAAGGTCATCTCAAGGTCACGTGACCCCAAGGTGACCCCCACGTGACCCCCAGGTCACGTGACCCCTCTGAGGTCACGTGACCCCCCGAGGTCACGTGACCCCCTCCCCGAAGTCACGTGACACCCCCCCTCCCCGAGGTCACGTGACCGCCCCCCCGGAGCATATTAAAGAATGAGGGGAGGAGGAGGGGTCTACCCTCCCCTCAGTACCCTTCACTGCTCCTCCTCAAGAGCTGCGCTCCAATTCGGCGTTACAGGGATTTGTAAACGGCTTTCACTTTTTCTTTTATTTGTTTGATTTTTTTAAGGAATGCAAAGGAGGTAAAAGGCGTTGTGAATGGTTAAAAACCAAACACGCCTGCGCATATGCATGGCTTCCACGTGACGTCATCTGACGGTCATTCCTATTTGTTCTTCATGAGAAAAGCAACTCGGTGGTGTGAAAGATACGCCGCAGAAGGTGAACGTTCAGCAGCAAGGACACCATAGTGGCCACTGCTATGACGTCAGGGGGAGCCGTGTATACGAGTGGCACCCAAAAGACATGTAGGACGCCGAAATGTCGTGAGTTATTTTTTGTCTTTCTCTTACAATAAAAAAAAATACATATATATATATATATATAATATATATATATATATATATTTTTTTTTTCCCCGCAGGAGGATTTAGGAAGGAACTTGCCGGAATGATTGACCAGTTAGCTTAGTAAAGTCCTGCATACGCAACTAATGCAAATTAAACTTCGAGGATTTGCTCGACAAGCTAGATGATATAGCAGAAGCTTGTTTGATTTGTCACTAGCTGAATGCACGCGGAACTCAACTGATTTTCCAACCAGAATCAACATTTTTCGTTCACAAATGTTTTTTCTCGAGTTTTCACTAAGCACTAGGCGTGAGTTCATCTGTTGAATGGGAAAGCACATATGAAGTCGACCCACTTTGAGACTGCACCCCAATTCTCTCAAACATTTTTAAATAAACACGTCAAAACCATATACCAGAAAAAAAAAAAAAGAGTGTGAACATCTAGGATGCACAAACAGCATGCCACGAAAACCGACAAACATACTTTTTTTTTTTCTCTCTTGCCGTGTCCTTTTTATGGTACCACGTCTACGTCCCCCTGCGCAAAAACGATTAGATTTGAAATTAAGAGTCAACTAAAATACGTGCAGTCCTATGGGTCACTAAATACAGCCTATACGACGTACCTATAGATACGACGGACAACTACTGAAAACCATAACAAAAATCGCCATTTCCCTGATCGTCATTGAAGCAATCGATAATTCAGAAGAGCATTTGAAATATCATTCTTGTCATTTCTTTCACAGCATGAAAAGCTTCATGTTCATGGGTCTGGTGGACAAGTGGCTAGGCGACTTCTTATGGCTCCTGCGCGCGAACGCCAGCTTCACGGACCTGCAGACAGCGGGGAGCCACGGAGAACGTCCCATCAACGTGATCGACCTGCAAGGGTCCTTCTTCGTGCTGGTCCTGGGATTCACGGCGGGATTTCTGGCGCTCTGGGTCGAACGTCTCCACGTGCGAGCGCGTCAACCCCGGCATCGTGTCGCCAAGCTTCACTAGAGCTAACGTCCTTTGCGTGGCGCTTCACGTCTCCTATGCTACACGCGGGAGCATTTCTGTCCACCACTCACCGCAACAGCCCTATCCCACTTAGGAAAGTCCCGCAGTCTGGTTCACACATTTTCATCGGCATAGGAAGAAGTTTCTCTTGGGGAGGTGGGGCTACTTTTTTGTTTGGGGTACGAAGAAAGGAAGAGTAGAAATGTTCTCTTTTTATTTCCCTATGTTGAGAAGACTACGTATTTGACAGCTATAAAAACACTTTACTAATGGCTACATCACTGGCACAACATGATTACAAAAAAAAAAAACCCTAGAATTTTACTTTATTTTTTATACATCAACCACAGCAACAAAGGAGAGAGCCAGTGGAGAACAATGGCTTCCAGAAACGTGTTCGTGACGCTTGGGAAACATCAACGAATACGTTTAGGGTGTGGACTCCCTTGTCTACCCCCAGGAAGATTGAGCTAGAATAATTACTCTTATCAAAGAAGAGCACTATAAAAGTTATTTCGGAGAAGATTCCAAGCCTCAGCGGAATGGTCGGTTGTCATTCTGATCGTCCCCAGGAGGAGGGTTGCTTTTCAGTCCTTTCGTGCATCTTCTGCAACTTTTGTGGTTCGGGCCCCCTGAAGTTCCACGTCGGCCCTAAGCGCCGTTACTCAAGTTTCATGGGAAACAGACGGACCATTTTATTTCTCGTTGTTTTCATTGGCACGTGAGAACAACGGCGCAAGCTGTGCACATGCTGTGTGTGGTGTTTGCTGATGTCTGAAGTGCACACGATAACCATGCTGACACACACGATACAGTGATTATTTGGTTCAGGAATAAAACACACTGCCTTCTTCCTTCGTGCAATTTATTCTTTCGAACTGAAGCAATGATGCATAAACGATTTGTATTTGGTTCATCGGTTATTCAACATCTTTTTGTTACGTCGGAACAACAAAAAACAAGGGAAAACGGTTACTTCAAAACGTAAGTGCTTTCGAGAATCAACGGGCCGAAAGCAAAACCAAACATTTTTGCTTTAAAAATAAATTCTTATTATTATAATATTTAGCGTGGCGGTGACATATATCAAACAAAATTAGAGCTCCAAATATTTCCTCAGTCTGTTACAAACGCCGACCTCTTTCTTCTGCTGCAGCATGCAGATCGGATCGAGACCTTCCAAAGACCGTAGGTGGTCCGCGGACTATGGGTCGTGCGCGGGCTGTGCATGCCTGCGGTCTAGCATACAACGTGAGCAAAACATACAAAACACGTCCGGTAACGTCATGAGCCATTGCCCGTCGACTCAGTCGTTGAAACGCCCAAATGGCAATACTCCCAACCGGTTCTAAGCGCGGCATGTAGACGTAGCGTAAGACGTTTCGCAAGCCTCACATAGCATTTCTTTCTTTGTTCGCCTCTTACTTTCACACCGGTGACCGGAGCTTTCCTCCAGCGCTTCGCGCAGCATTCTATGTTAATCAAAACGAAACCGTTGTTGACGCCGCCGCCGCAACTGGAACAAAAAGATAAAGAAAAGCGTCCACGCCACTAGCGCCACCACTCGCTGCTCGTGAACTTTTTCCACCTTTGCGTCAGTCTCGATCAAGATGGCGACTGGGGGTGTTTGTGAGGAACTTCGGCGTGAACGGTCCGGTGCCACTTTTGATATCGCCGAGTTGACACATCTTTTGGACGGTGGCAGGGATAAAACGGAACGCAGGAAAGAATTGGGTGAGTTTTTTTTCAGTCCACGAGTGTCGGATTTGACGAGCAGAGGACGCCAAAATACACGTGGCCTATTTAGGCTGACTGCGTTAGTATCCTTGTGTCCGAGCCGAAGGAAGTTTTGCAGTGCGTGTCACCAAATGCTTGCCAAAGTTCGTTAACTAGAAAGCATACGAGGAATTCGACTACTTGGCTCGTGTTCTCCGACGCTGCTGCATTCGTGAGCGATTGGTGCACTTATAATAAGAACGTTTTTTCGCGTACCATCCGATTTGCTGTTGCAGACCGTTTGTGGGGACAACTTGCCCTGCTTTCAGTTTTCCCGGTCGTAACACGTAGTACGCATTAAATAAAGGGCTGCTTGACGTTGATACAAACTAAGTTTCCCTCACGTGAAAAATGACACGATTTGCGGAGCTGCGCGTTTTCCTTGTGGACTGTGCTCATGGCCCCGTGTCGACCATGAAAGTTCGTACGAGTTGGCCTTGCTAGGTTGACTTCCAGTGAAGGTATTTTCTGGAAACTGTCTCGAACTCGACATGTAGCGGCAATTGAAGTGTCGGTACCTGCACCTATAATGTGCACTGACTGTCGTTTATTTATCGTGAGTTGCTTCGCGCGCAGCCGAGGTCACTTGACGAGGCGGAAGTTGATTTGTGTCAGGCAACGTCTCTTGGCCGTCGACGTAATGTCTTGATTTACAAGGACGGCTAGTTTCACTATAGACCAAATAGCTTCGAGCGCTACCATGGGCTAAGCTGTTTTTGCGGTATGTGTCATTCAGGAACAACGCTGAGGTCATATGGTTGTGAAACACGACGAAGATGTAGTGCCTGGTGAAAACATAAAAATTGCGTCTCCGTTGTTAACCTAAATGTTGTAATCAAGCATGTGCTGGTTCTTTCTAACGTTTCGGTTATTAATGATGGAACTGCGTTTCTTTTTAAAGCATAGCTGTTTATTTGTCAGCTAAATTTGTCACTAAACCCCGTTAATTGTTTCACCGTGCAGCTGAGCACTTGCTTGTATATATCAAATAATTGTCACAAATAAAATGAATTTATGGTGGTGTAAATTGCGGATGACTCCCAGTTACTGCTTTCCATAGGGAGCTTGTGTTTTGACTAATGCTGGGCGATGCATCTATTCACTTGCAAAACTCCAATGATGCGTTAATTACATTTAGATTTATTAATAGACACTGTGATGCTTTATAAAAAAGAGTTCAAAGAAAAATACCATTTGTTGCTGCCACTCACCCTTTGTGTCATTTTATTTATTTATTTGGTGTACTGTCAGTCATATCCAGGACTCTGTATGCAGTCCATCATTTTCCAAAATATGCTGTTTGAGAGTTCTTCAATTTTAAGTTGTGTGGTATGTGCGAGCTTAAACATTCCTTTGAGCAATGAAGCTAGGTCCTGTTGGCTCCATTAGACTATGGTGACCTAGAGTGAGCTCCCGAAACATTGTTTTTGTGCCTACTGCGGCTGATATTTCACCCCTAAATTCGTAAAATGATAAATGGCACCCCCTGTTTCCTCCATTTTTCTATAAAATGCAAGTGTTTATTGAGTGGTATGGGTTGATGGAAGTTTAGGTGCCCTGACTGGCTCATGAGAAGTGAATTGGATAGAATATCGTAAAAAAAAGCTTCAAAAATTTTTTTTTTTTTATGCACTCGAGCAAGAAAAAACTAGATAAAGCGTCCAACTTTGTTGGAGACTATAATTTTTGCTAAGTCGACAAAATGAATCAGTGTACTTGACTTCATTTTTGCACTTACAGTTTCCCAAGCAAGGAGGCAACAACACATGAAGCAGGTTCTTCTTAAAAAAACCACTAAAAATAAAAAAAAAAATTTTTTAAAATCAGTTTGGGTGAGACACGCGTGTCAAAGAATAAATCTTACATGGAAAAAAAAAAAAAAAAATTTAGAGCATTATTGACGGGGCGAGATTTCTGCGCGCGAAGTCCATGTCGCACGGAATGGTCATACACTCTCTCCACCTCAACGTGATGGCCAAGCCGACCCACCTCTCCTCCATGCGCCCGAAATGCCGAGAGAGAAAAGTGGAAAGGAGGTGACTATTTACTGAATCGTGTCTCGCGCTGTCAATATTGCTCTAAAAAAATTTTCTTTCCGCATAAAATAATTTTTTTGACACACGTGTCCCAACCAGACTGTTTAAAAAAAAAAACACTTTTTTTTTTCTTTTCAGTGGCTCTTCCTGCCACAGTGGCCCTTCCTGCCTTCCATTTACCTACTAATGTAATTTCTATCGAATGACATTAGGCAATTGGAAATCAGCTTACAATCCTGATTATGACTGTTATGCATGCACTGCGCTGCGCCAGGAGTGGCGTGCGCTGATTGGCCAAACCTACAATGTGATTAGAATAAAAGGACACAAAATTTTACCACGTGGCAGGGATATTAGTTCTTTATATTTTATTCAGTTTTAAAGTTCACCAATTATCTTATCTGAAATTTAAGTCCAATACCGATAGTGATATAGCACAAGTCTGACCTCATGTCAGACTTGCACATTGGAGTTTCAGTAGATTGTTTGATAACCCCGATAATGATACTTGATAACAATATGATGCACGCTCAAAGGAGGTGGCGGGCTATTGGGTATCATTATCACATTCATTGGGACAATGTACTAAAACTAACATCATTGTTACGAATTTTAGATTGTTTTTCTTCACCAGACTGTAGGTTACTCTAATAATTCAGTGATGTAATTTCTGTGCAAAACTGTGCCAAAATGCTTACCTTGTTACATCTTCCTACTTTTTGGCAAAATATGATGAATTTGTGCCAACATTGCGCCTAAATGTAATTTCACTGTGATTACTAAAAATATAATAGCTCAGGCTTCGCTATACGGCCGGATCGTTGCAGTATGCTTGTATGAACTTTCAGAACTTTCAATTATCGCTTCAAATATTTACTTGATTTGATCTCTGTGTCAAACGCTGACAGTACTAGGAGGTCCTGCAATATTTTTCATGTTCGTGGTCTGTTTTGGTAGGTTAGTAGATTTGTTCAGTGCGCTTCTTTGCGCGCTTTGGTGCGCTGCAGTGAAGCAAGGAGCGCGAAGTAGCCATTGCAATTTTGCGTAGTTTGCTTTGCCGCAGCACATCCACGTGCTAACACAAAAGCACTCCTCCAAAGCAGTATATTACACACACGGGCATCGGGAGTATTAAAGGGGTCATGAAACAATTTTTCAACGTTTTTCCTTCTTAGCTTTACTCCTCAACTCACAATTCGCACATTGTACCAAACAGTTCAGGAGGACTGAAAAGAGAGACTCTCCTCTTGCTCGGACCCTCGTTTGTGTACCTGGATACCGCTACTCTCCCCTTGGAAGATTAGCCCGTCCCTCAAAACTCGGACAAAAGTTGCTTTGCCCAGCCCGTTCACCCTGAAGTTGACGGTGCCGTGGAAGCTACGTACTTGTTGGGCCAGCCACTTTTGCCACGTGATCACGCTCTCTTGCGCATACCCACGCACAGAGAATGGGGTCAGGTGATGAAAGGGACGCAGCTGATTGATCCGGCAAGCGCATAGCTTCCATCGCACTGTCGTCTTAGGGGTGAAGGGAATAAGCGAGGTCCGGTGTCGTGTGACATGCTTTCGGGCGCAGTGACGCGTTTTGGATATGCGGATGTGTCGCAGTGAAAAGGCAGAGAGCTTCTAAGAAAAGGAGGTACGAAATAGTCCACTGGGCTTTCACATTTTTGTATTGAAAATCAGGCTTTTGACTTTTTACCTTTTTTTCTTGGTCCACTAATTGATATGCTACTCGTAAAATCCCAATGTAAATTCATTTATCCCAGCCAAACATTTTATTTATTTGTTTTTTTTTTTTGTTTTTTTAGGAATACTGCTGATCTCACGTGGAGATCATAGCAGGTGGGATACAAACATAATGAAACATAACTCACAAAGTAAATTATACAGGCACTCACATCCTCCACAACACACTAGCAAAACACAATAAATTATACGAAACGTGCAATAAACAAATCAAGAGATCCTAATTCCACCGTCTCTCGAGGTAGCCCGTTCCACTCTTTCACAGTATGTGGAAAAAACAAATTTGAAACAATTATTACGAGGCATAAATAGAACTATGGATAGACAATGCTTTTGTCTTATAGAATAAATAGCCTTGTGAAAAGGTTATGTAGTCGTGCATATTAAGTCTAAAATGCCCATGAATAATCTGATATAAAATTTTTAATCTGCACACCCGATTTCTTTCTGTCATTGACTGGAGGCCAGCTTTTTGGACAAGGCTGTTTACTGATGTCCTCTCATAGGTATTAAAAATAAACCTAGCAGCTTGGTTTTGGATTGTGTCTAGTTCCGCCAAGTTTAACTTTTTAAATGGGTCCCAGATGGCATTGCCATATTCTAATATAGGCCGAATGATAGTTTTATAAGCAAGTAATTTCGTTTGAGAGGTGGATAATTTCAGAGTTCTTTTAAGAAAGAAGAGCTTACGTAGTGCATTTGAAGTTACATAATCAATATGCTTAATCCGCTTAAAGCGGTCGTTAATCCAAATCTTAAGATATTTGTATTCTAAAACCCCTACTAGGTTGTGGCTTCCTATGTTATATATAAACTTGAGGGGCTTCTTTTTGTGAGTAACGGACATAAGAACACTTTTTTCATAATTTATGCACATCTGCCAAGAGCTACACCAGTTATTAATCAGACCTAGATCTTCATTTAACTTACACTGATCACTAGAACCATTTACCTCGTAATAAACTACACAATCGTCAGCATACAGCCTCAGTTTTACAGAAATATTGTCCACAATGTCATTAATAAATGACAAAAACAAAAGAGGCCCCGATACTGCTCCTTGGGGAACCCCCGAGTCAACAATCACCCTATTTGAAGCAGCCTTGTTAAAATCTATGTATCGCTGTCTATTAGAAAAGTACGCCACAATCCAATATACTAGTTGATCATTTTTAGAGTTTTCTTGTAATTTGGTTGCTAGCTTGCTATGAGAGACCTTGTCAAAGGCCTTTGCAAAATCTAAGAAAATAACGTCAATCTGACCGCCTTTATTTATGGATGACGCAAAATCGTGTCATTTCCACTAACTGTGTGATTGTGGAATAACCACGCCTGAAACCGTGTTGCCTTTGGGTTAGAACTGTATTCTCTTCAAGAAACTAAAAAATATGGGTATGAATAATATGTTAGAGTAGCTTGCAGGACGTACAAGTAAGCGAAATTGGTCTATAGTTCGCAACAAGATGCTTATTTCTAGATTTATGTAAAGGTCTCATTTTGGCCGTTTTCCAGTCCTCTGGGAGAGAGCCTTTACGCAAAGATTTTTTTATAAATGAGAAATAAAAACTTAGATACCCATTCTGCATACCGCCTAAAAAATGCATTAGGCGAGCGATCAGGTCCCATAGACTTCTTTTTGTTTAGATTCAGTAACATACTGTAGATGACTTAATTTTCGCGAGGACCTAATTTTTGCGAATCGCATACAATTCGCAAAAAATAGGTCCCGCAAACAATTTTGGTAAAAGGTAAACACATTGGAATCTATATTGAGATCTCCCCGCGTCACGAAAATGAGAACCTGCATATTATTCTAAGATTACAGCTTTGACCTGACATGTGAAATATTGAGCCCGCGAAAAATAGTTTGTTTACAGTATTCAAAATCCCACTCTCACTCAAAACTAGATCTGAAATACTAGGCAGGCTTTCATGCATTTTATGGCTTGGCACTTTTTCATTATCATTTGTAAAAATAGATTTAAAATTACCATTAAACGAATTTGCAATTGCAGTATTATCACTGAGAAGTAGTCCTTCAGAAATAAACATATTAGTAATAGGAGAGGACGGCTTAATGTGTCTCCAAAACTTTTCTGGAGATGTTCTAATAATTTGACTAAGTGTGGCATTGTAATACCTGTACTTGTCCGAATACATTTGAATTTTTAATTTAGCCGACAACCTCAATATTTTGCTCTTGATTGCAGAGAAACCATTCTTTTAATATGATTTCTTTGCTCAATTTATTTGACGCTTTAAGTGTATTGAGTCACGTGATTGATATCCAAGGATTTTGAAGGTTAGTCTTTTTAGTTTTACTGGGAACAAAGCATGATATAATGTTCTGAACAAGGTTTTTAAAATAAAACCACATTGAATTGGTATCACAACCATCAGATAAAGAAAAAGTTATAATTTATCAAACTTGTGATCCAATTAGTCAAGAATGGAAACTTTATCCACTTGTGCAAAATCTAACACACTAGACTCCTTCAATTTGGATTGCATATTTATGTTAAATAATGCAAAAAGCATGGCTCTATGGTCTGAAATACCATCAACAACTTCATACTCTTAATTATTTCCAACTTCGCCATTCACAAACACAAGATCTAAAATTGATTTGGAGTCGCCTTGTACTCTAGCAAACTCATTTACGACTTGGTAAAAATCAAAAGTAAAGGCAATGTTCAGAAGTTTATGGTTGTGCACACTGTGTACAGCACGAGCCAAAAAATTAAGGCAGTCAATATTGGGCAAGTTAAAATCTCCTCACAAAAGGACTTTTGTGTTCAACTCTACATGCTTTGTTATGTAATCTTTAATATTCTTTAGGACCGAGAGCGGTGAATTTGGCGGTCTATACACCACCCCAAAGATATACAAATTATTATGAAAATATGCTTTACAAGAAATTGCTTCCACTTTAGAAATATTATTCATTCTCAAAAGCTTAATATCTTTGCCATAGAGGACTGCAACACCCCGTCCTCTTGAATCTCTGTCTTTACAAAAAATGTTATACTTTGGCGGGATAAATTCACTAAAAAATATTGTCATTCAACCATGTTTCAGTTAAAACTCCAATTTTTGGACAATAAAATGAAATTAGATGCTCAAGCTCTAGCACCTTATTTACCACACTCCGACAGTTGACATTTAGAATTTTGAGAACCTTTGGCTTAGGGTCACGATGTCAAGTGTTGACTGCATTCTGTTGCTCAACCATTCTAGCAGTTGACACATCCCATTATGCACCTTTCCGTTTACTACTCATCTTTATCAAGATCAATTTTACTTTTCCACTATTTGCTCTGTTTACAGCAGTACTGTCCCAAAGAAGCTTACGAATTCCTTGAAACAGTAAGCGAAAAGTCCTCTGTCACAAACATTTTCAAACCCTTCAGTTTTTGGCAGTTTTTCAATTCAGATAACTTTTCTCGATAAGCTTCAAGATGACAGGCCAGGTCTTATCGGCAACCTTTCTCCCTAATCTGTGACAACATTCAACCCCTGTTATGGAAATTCCAAGCCTATCTCGAAACACACCATTAATCAGTTGGTCATGCAGGCTATCTGCAGATTCGCCCGGCAGTTCTTCTAAGCCATGAGCAATGAGGTTGTTTTTCCGGTCTCGGTTTTCTAAGTCGTCTATTTTACATTGCGAAAAAAAACATGCTTTTTCAATTGAGAAGCATGTTCCTCGCACCTGTCCCACCTTCTCTTTCAACTCATGAAATGTTCTAGAGCTGATTCGAATGTTTCTAGACAACTTTCATACGACAACATTTTCTGTTCCATGCTTGTCTGAGCAACCTTAACCTCCTGTATACTTTGTACAATTTCTTTCTGACCTGTAATAAGCTGTAAAATTAGGCCTCTAATCAGATGGGTCAGAGTTTAGTTCAACATCTGGGCCAGGGTTTGATTCAACATTGCCCCAAAGTTCTAATAGGTTTACAAAAGCATTCACACATCCCATCAACAACTGTTTACATCTCTGCGGGCAAGGCAGCAGCACAAGAAACGGATCATTGCTACAATAATTCCGAGCGGGATACGCAGGGCCAACCTGTATAGCAAAGAAGACGTGCGTGCTTAGCATCATTGACGGATACTGCCACCTTGCCCTCTGACAAACCAGGACAATGTGCCGACTTTAGTAGCCACTTGATCCGGATATGACGTCGCCGTAGTCGAGTGGAGTTGTTTCATGGGCACTTTAGAAATGCAAAGGAAAGATCTCCGGCTAGTATATGATACATAGCAAAATGTTTTCTGACAATTTTGTTTTTGCATTTTAATATTTAGCAAGAATACTTGGGCATTATGAGATTTATATGGACTAATCTTTAGGTTGGGTGGCAATGCAGGCCAGTTGGTTCATACTTAGTCAAATCGACACAGCGCACCAAAAACAGACCAAGTGGAAGGGTGTATGCAAATCAAGTGCTGACTCTCAACCGAAGTTTTAATGAAAAAGCAAACACTAAAATAAACAACAGCAAACAACACCATTATGGCCAATCAGCAAGTGCTCACTGTTGTCTGGACATATGCTGATTGGCCATGATGGTGTCATTTGCTGTTGTTTACTTAGGTGTTTGTTTTTTCCATTAAAACTTCAGTTGAGAGTCAACGCTTGTCATGTGTACACCCCTCTACTTCGTCTTCGTTTTTTGTGCCATGTCGATTTTACTATGTTCTTTAGGTTTATTTTTATGCCAACATACTTGTTTAGTTATCACCTTCATATGGGCTGCATTGCCACCCAACCTAAAGCCACCCAACCTATGTGCAATTGTAGTGATTAGAGTAAATTAAAACTAAATTTGCTGAAGCAATGGGTGGAAACTTGGGAATAACTTTCATGAGTTTTGCTGCATATTAAGGAGGAATATTTATTGTTCCCATGCCAATTATTGTTATCATAAAGTTCTAAACGTGGAATGTCACTGATGTCCATAATGAAATGACAAAAGCTTTGTTTTTATCTTAAGAATTGAAGTTTTATTACGACAGTTAAAACTTGTATGAAACATTAATTTAGGTAGTTAATAATATTCTGTTTCGACATTATTTTGATAGATATTTGGTTTACCTCTGACTCCATATCTAAAACACCTGTTCAGGCAGATCATACTGTCCTTCATCATTCAGCACCTTGTTGCTGTGCTTAAGTTTTTTTATTGGCAACTAAACAGCTAGTTCTGTGTTTGAGGAAATCAGACCTGCAGTGCAATTTAGGCTAATAAAATGTTGCACAGAAGTTAAAAGGCCAAGTAGACAATGTCTTATTTCGACAGGCCGACACATGGATCTTAACATATAATATATGCTGTGGTAGGAATGAAAATTAAGTATGTGCCTATGCTCCAGTCTTTTTGCTGCTCCAAAGGGTGCTCCAAAATGGCTCAGACCAATCACATCACAGATAATAAAAAAATTAAAAAAACCTGGGAAAGGGATTACCCTTCACCATATCAGAACCTTGTGTCAGACTTGCACTTTATCATTGTAATTGATTTTAAAATTTTGTTTTCAGCAAACAGTAGGTTACAGATCCTAGGTGAAATAGTTGGGAAAAACCTTGTTACCACGTCAAACGCTCTCATTCAACTTGCATTGTTAACATAGTAATTGATTCATTTTTTTTTTTTTTTTTACCATTAGGCAGTATAAGTAATTAGGGAAAACCTGGGAAAGGGAATGCCGTTGTCACCTTGTCAAAATCTTATATCAGACTTGCATTTGTTACCATTGTAATAAATTTCAAATTCTTGTTTCTACCAAACAGTAAGCTGGAGAATCTTGCTCAAATAGTCAGGGAAAATTTGGAAAAGGGAACACCCCTGTTTGCATGTCAAACCCTAGATTAATATCTTCAAATGACATCCAGCCCTTGTTCAGGCACACTGAAACCAGGCCTGACCACAAAGGCAAAGACGAGTAGACGTTCCAACTCAACTTTTTGTGATTCTCTTTGTTACTCTGTCTTTTCATGCTACATTGGCATTCAACAAAGTATGGTGCAGCCAGTGTCAGCAAACAGCTCGTTGGATAAAAGTGCTTATGTGTTTCCATTCCAGAAAAACTATTCCATGAAGACCCAGAGTTCCAGAGCGATGTTCCCTACTGTTACCTCACATACTCTGAGGCATACTCAGATGCCCTACAGAAGTGCCTCAAGATTTATCAGAAGGCTATGGTTCTCTCCGATCCAAGGGAAATCTTGTAAGTTCTTTTGTGCCTGAAACTTGAGCGCTATTTGAATGGGTGAGAATTTGCTTACTGGTGCTCGAGCCCATGTTACATCTTGGGAATTTTCTGAAAGAAAATTACATTTGTCTTTGCCTTGTATCTATAGAGACTTGTTAAGGGACAATAATTAGAGTTTTAAGGGCAACTCTGGTTGAAAACGAAACCAAAATAAATAACTGGTTTCGCTTTAGTGGCACGAAATATGACCACAGCCGAAATATTACGTCAAAGTGAAGCGGTGTACTCCACTAAAACCGATTTTAAAGATGCACCCAGCTGCTCTTTAGCGGACAACAAGCAGGTTAGCTTCTGGTCAAGGAGCACTCGCGCAGCACCCTTGTGGCATCACGTTGCGGTGGAGCTGCGGCTAATTGGTTGTATCGCGTACCGTAGCACCCTTGTGACGTCACATCGCGGCCGTACGCTGATGATCAATGTTGCCATTTCTCTAGCAGGTAGTTTTGGTTTTGCCATAGACGCCCAAAGCCATACTTTGAGCCGTGATATTTATAAAACTACTCACAATATAGAAAAAAAAATTTATACCTTGTAATTCAGGGACACTGCTTTAGCTGAAAACAGTCGCAATTCCAAATTAAAAAATATTGACCGGAGTAGCCCTTTCAGTAAACTGGATAGTAACATTCTCTTATCTAAAAAAAGTGCACACTTCAGAGGTCGTTCGTGTTAACTAATTATGTGTTCACTTCGGTTAAAGGTAGGTGGAAATACAAGTTTCAGCCGAGTTGAAACCTCACATTTAAAACTTTGGCAGCCAGAAACATCTCTACTAGAAATATAGAGGGTCATTCGGTAATTGTTTTTCACATACTCTTGTGTGAAAAACAATGCACAGAAATGAAAGACCTACTTTGTTCCATTGTTAGTCTAAACTGCTGCTGCTATTGCTGGCTGAGAGCATAAATAGAGCTCATACACACAGAAAAAGTGTCATGCCATCCAATACTTCATTTTATTGCTAACTACTAACATAAACATCTACTTTAATATTCCATTGGTATGATACACACTTCAGCAGTTCCCCTTCACAGCTGTGACTGTGCTGTAGGATATAAGATGAAACTAAGCATTGGGTAGAATATGCAACAGCAGTGTTACCTCTATAGCAGCAAGCAAATACGGATGTGCCGATTGCCTTTTCGACTTGACCAGTGCTGTGTCATTCGCATTTTTAGTAACATGAAGAACACCAGGATGGCATTCACTGTTCTTGTTCTTGGAGGCTATGGTTATCTGATCATAATTGTGGTTTGCTCCTTTGTTAATGTGGCATAGATGATTACATTCTAGTTTGATTTGTATTTTCTGTATAAGTGAGGTAGTATCCTGACCTTGGAAACTGTACAAGGTATCTAAAGTGTTGTTCAAAGCAGCAACTAATCAAACCTCTTACTCTCTGTGCTTCCAGGACCGTTGCCGATGCCATTCTGCACGATTCAACACCTGTGCATGTTCACTTTGTTATGTTTGTTCCCGCCCTCATGGGTCATGCAAATGAAGAGCAACAAGCAAAATGGTTGTCTGATGCACTCATGATGAAGATTGTGGGCTCCTATGCACAGACTGAGTTGGGACATGGTGTGTAACCCTTTTGCTCGTTGTCATTAGCAGTTAGCCTAGAGCTTTAGTGAATGTCAAACAATTAGTTGTATTCCGCCTTTCATTCCAAATAACAGCCTTTTCAGAAACCCTTTTTTTTTTGTTTAATTTACAGCATATCTTCAATCGGATGAATTTCTTGCCTTTGTCGTTTAGTATCTGCACATCACAATTCAAAATTACCTGCTGCTTTGTCCAGGTTTTAAGACCGCTGCTAGCATTTAAGATTGATGGAATCGGGGTGTTCCCAGCCTTTGGTATCTGTGTATGTAAAATATGACCACAGTGCAGTCCACTTATAACAATAACAGATATAACAATGTACTGCTTGTAACGATCAGTTTCTAGAGTATTAAGACTAGAAATGACCAGCTTCTAGTCCAGATACAACGATAATCAATTATAACGATTGAATTTTTGGGTTTTCTCATTATCGTTGTAAGTGGATTGCACCATATTTTTTTTAACACTTTAAGCATGTTTTTGTTACTTGCTTTCCCTAAACTGCTACTGCCGTGTCCTACACACAAGCCTCCTTGACTTATGTGAGAATTAAATGGTTAAATGTACAAGAATTGCAATAAAATGTATTGTATTTTGTCTACCAACCTGAGAAATAAGGGAAACGGGGCATTGTCGGAGGATTTGCCGAGTCTGGAAAAGTCCTCGAATTTCCACCCCAATCGGCATCAATCGGGGAAACTGAGCTTTCTGTATTAATTCAAAAACATCATTTTAATGGACTCCCCAGTAATATTAATTAGATTTAATCCGTAAAATAAATGTTGGTTAATTGGCACTTTATGAAAACAAAATTTCCAGTTTTTTATTGATTTTTTATTGACTCGACGCTCCACGTGTAACAGATTAGCTTATTATTTCAAAGTTGGACTGAATTTGTGCTGTCGTTGAAAATTGCAATGCTGATCCATTGTTCCGCATATTTTAGGAACATTCATCCGTGGACTCGAGACAAAAGCAACCTATGATCCCGCCACGGAGGAGTTTGTTCTGCACACACCAAATCTTTCTTCCATCAAGTGGTGGCCTGGAAGCTGTGAGGATATGTTTCCGTTTGTTTCACTGTTCATGCGTGCAGTGAAGGAACCGTAGGTTAAAGACAAAATCCTCATTCACTCTCTTCAGTGGGTAAAACAGCAAACCACGCCATTGTTCTGGCCCAACTTCACACCAAGGGAAAGTGCTATGGCATTCATCCGTTCATGGTGCAGATAAGGAGTATGGAGAACCACGAACCGCTTCCTGGTAAGTAACATTGGTCTCAACATCCTTCTTCCTTTTTGTACTGGCTGTGGAACATAAGGAATGTGCAAGATAGGTTGCTGCACTGGACGACGATAATAATCCCTGGAGAAGGGGAACCAGGGGGACAAAGGATTAACACAAATCTACAAACACAGCTAGGTGACTAATACATTAATTGCATTATCTTCAGAACCTTAAAATGCAGGCCGTTCACTCTTGTCGGTGTTAGACTGATGGCAGCTGATAAAATACCCATTTGCTCTACCGACGTCTAACTCCTGGTTAGCTCGGTTGGTAGAGCGCTGTACTGGAAATGGAGAGGTCCCTGGTTCGATACCAGGACCAGGCCAATTTTTTTTTGGTTGTGCACCATACCCCTAACTGTGTTAGGATATTTGTGTCTGTTCTGTGTCCCCCATGTTCCCCTTCTCCAGGGATAATTATCATCATTATTGTCCAGCTCGCATGCACCTTTGCATTAATTGCATTATCTTCATAACCTTAAAATGCAAGCCGTACACCTCTGTTGGTGTTAGTCTGATGGCAGCTGATAAAACCCGTTTGCTCTACTAACGTCTGACTGCTGGTTAGCTGAGGTGGTAGAGCGCTGTACTGGAAACGAAAAGGTCCCTGGTTCATTACCAGGACCAGGCGGAATTTTTGTTTATGCACCAGTCACCAAACTGTGTTTGGAAATTTGTGTTTGTTCTTTGGCCCCCCTGTTCCCCTTCCCCATTGATTATTAATGTTGTTCTTGTCCGGCTCGCTTGCACCTTTGCATTAATTGCATTAGTATAATTATGCCGAAGTAGGTTGCTGCACTTGCATTTGACAGCAACCTAGGTGCTCACACTTCCTTTGTTGAGGAAAGGGGACATTATTGCAACCTGCAGTGTTCCACCATTTGTCAAGGTCTTTTATTATTGGGGGGATTTATATGAAAGTGTGGGTTCAACTAGCTGCAAAAATAGCTTGCACAACAAAAAGATCTAATCTCAGGAAGGGTGCATACTTTGGTGGTCCTGACAGCATCCTTAGATTTGAGAGGATAGTCTCAACTAAATGAAAAATAAGTTTTTATCTGTGGCAACAGGTTGAGCAATGCTCACATTAATGATAAACATGATTCTTATTAAGCTGTGATGGATGTGACGTAAGATACGCTCTTATTAGTGCATGTTTAAGGCAAGACTCAGTATTCGTCTTTAATGAACTCAGTTTGGAACAGCGTCAAATATTCCGAAAGTGCAGTCCTGTCGGGTCGGAATGAATTTCATGGGTTGGGGACATTTCAGTGTTTTTAACGGTATAGATATGGCAGAAAAATTAGATGGGCAGTTTTGTGGTGTGTGCACCTGTTTGTAACATTACAGTAAAGATTCGTTGACATCTTTATCTTTTTTATTTAATTGCTCTGGTCTTTTGTGTGCATCGACGTCTATCTTCCACAATGACATGGCAATCCTGCCCAATTCACATTGCTACATTAACACTCACAATGACCTTTTGCGCAGGGATCACTGTTGGCGAGATCGGCCCCAAAATGGGAATGCGGGCTGCTGACAACGGTTTTCTCAAACTGGACCACGTGCGAATCCCTCGGGAGAACATGCTGATGAAGAATGCTCAGGTGGGGACAGTGTTCCATGCACAGATCAACTGCACCTAACTAGTTTCTATAATTTTGACAAAAGGCTAATCGAAAAACTTTCAGCCTTTCCGCTCTGGTGAAAAAGGAAGAGCAGTTGAGCTGTGCTATATGCAGCCATCTATCAGCAACAGCGGCAACCAGACAACCAGCAAACCGGTTGTCTGGTTGCCGCCGTATAGATGGCGGTAGCTGTCCAGAGGGTTGTGTTGAAATTTATTTGTTCATGGACACGAAACTGGGGAAACTAGCCCGTAACAGCTTCGTTGTAAAACAAAATTGGCACTAATTAATGGACTGAGAGTTTCAAGCTGTAGGAATACAAGGGAGATTAAGGTTTCCTTGCACCATAGGAGAGAGAGCAAATTAAGCACAATTGTAATGCCCGTTTTTTTGTTTTAAGATTTTTGTTTATTGTGAGGGGAGAAGGGAATGCGACGTAGCTAAAGCTATCGCTAAAAGAGAAATTGGGAATTGCATGTTTGTATGGAGAGTAAGGATAAGGCGCAGACGGGCTGATGGAAGTCAGGTGCTCTCCTGCGGAAGTAGTGATGATCGCATTGGTTGCAGCTGGTGATGTAGTCAGCCCAGACTTGGTTGTGGGGAGTAGTTTGGAAGGGTGAAGTCCGTACGTGCAGTTGACATCAGTCGACTCGTTGTGCAGGTCACGAAGGAGGGAGACTACATAAAGCCCGCCAGTGACAAGCTCAACTACGGCACCATGGTGTTTGTGAGGGTGCTCCTTTTGGACATGTTTGCATTCAACATTGCTCGTGCGTGCACCATTGCCATCCGGTACAGCGCAGTACGGCGACAATCCGAGATCACGCCAGGGTAAGTAAATGCAAAGGCGCACATTTCTGGGCAGGTTTGCATTATTAAGTATAGAGTAACTCTGCTACATTATTGATAGGCTCAAGCTCTCAGCGAGGCTGCGTATGCTCATTGCAGTGGCATTCGGCTGTGTTGATTCCTCGGTGCTCGAACATGCTTAGGACCACCCTTGCGGAGCGTGCCATTCATTCTCACCTCTGTACCTCTTAAAAGATTAAGAAAGCTTTGGAGCTATTTTCTCGTTATTCTTTCTTGCACTCTTTTCTTTTGGGCCAGCTTTGTGCGGGGCAAGGGTTATTAAACTGGGCTCCTAGGAACTCTGGTTCCCCACAGTACTCATAGGATTCCCCAAGATCCCATACAGTAGGCTCGCGACAATTCAAACTGGGATATTTTTATTACACTTCTGGTTAATTTCAGCAAATTTTAAAATTTTGGTTGTCCCACTACTTTTTTAGTGTACTTATAAGCCGCTTAATCAGAATGGCATTTTTGTGTAATTCATACTTTTTGTCCTCGCGGCCCCGTTAAGCACGCTTCTTGGTTCTCGCGGTTCCGTTAAGCACAGTGCACTGCGGAAAAGCAGCACCCGCGGTGCTCGCTTCTATGGGTGTTGCTTCTCCGCAGTGCACCAGTGCTCTGTAAGAAGCATGCTCGACGGGGCTAAGTGTCCAAAATAGACAACTTTTTTGGCTGGATGAACAAACTTAATTTTGTTTTGAAGTGCCATGTTGTCCAAACAGCCCACAATAGACTACATATTTGAGGGACGAGTAAACTTCTCATACATTGCACCAGTGCTTCATGTCTGGCATACCTGCTTATGATTAGTAGGCTTGTGTAGAAGTCATCAAATATCTGCTTTGTATGTGTAGCTATCCAATTAAGAAATCATAATTTTATCTTGCATCGTATTTAGATGAATTTCTGATAATTCAAACAAAACTTGTGGCTCCCGGGAATTTGATTTAATGAGTCTATTGTACTTCCTCGACCGCCCCCGCCCTTAAGTAAAGTGTTTTCCCAGTTTTTAATCACCATTTTAGCAGATCTGAGCCACCCATTGATGCATAACTATGAGCCAAACACTTGCTAGTGTATGCGTTACTGTTTATCAGGTCTGTGAGCTCCTGCCATTCTTTATTGTGCTAATGTTGAAACATTGATGCAATAAAGCTACTATATTGAAAAGTTTGGGAACCCCTAATGTGGAACATCAAATCGTTCAGCAACTTCTTGTGTATGACGTCATCTTGGTGTGTCAACCGTGTTAACTGCAGCGGTCAAAGAGTTAATATAGGGTGACCAGAATGAATGTCTGCTCTGTAAAACTTGCCACATAAATCGGCGCCTGCTAACAGAAAGTTAAAACTTTCACCAAATGTACATTGAGGTTGTAAATTTTAGCTGAAGAAATTTTAATGCATAGCTCCCTTCCTGCGAGAAATGAGACCAACAGACTCACCAGGATCGAAGGCGGACAGATTTCCAATCGAACGAGTTAGCGATGCTCATATCACGTGGCACCATTTCCTGACCGGGACAGCAACCAGACGGCACACTCTGTCGTATGCAAACAAGTCCGCCGTTGACCCCGGCAACTTTGTTGGTCTCATTCTTAACAGGAAGGAAGCTATGCCTTAGAATTGCATCAGCTAAAGTCCACCACCTCAATGCACGTTCGGTAAAAGTTTGGACTTTCTATGTGCAGTGACCCTCGAGTCCTCGCAGCTAGCCCAACTGTTTTCCCGACAGGCAAGGGGAGAACCAGATTATGGACTACCAGGCGCAGCAGTACAAGCTGTTTCCGCTCCTCGGACTATGCCACTCCCTGAGGGCCATGTTTGCGAACCTCATGGAGCTGTACAAGCAAGCCAACCAGGACATGGAGCAGGGGAACCTCGAGATGTTGCCAGAGGTGTGTTGTCAAGAACTTGACCCAGCTCATTGTGGGACAGAGCCCCATGTGTGGAGAGTGTTTGGATAGGGAGGGCAGTGGTGTGTCAACACGGCCTCAACAATCCCCCAGTTGCCGTAATGCCAAATAATTTCGAGCCTGGCTCTATTAGCGGTGCCGTCTTACGGTTCTCGTGTGTGACGTCACGACCATGATTTGCCTCACTGCGACGTCGGGAGTTGTAATTTTGGCTGCTTATCATAAGTTGCCAACTACCAATTCGACGGCGCGCGTAAAAAGCATGACGGAATCGTGGAGCCATCGCATTCTTAAACCCACGCCGTCAAAGTTGGCAGCGTGGCGTTGCTTTTGTTTTCGTCTACGAAAGCAAAATTCATTCAACTGAACATGTCATGGTGAGCATTTGACTAGTCGTGAATGCCAACCACAGCAACGCATTCGGTTGTGCACGTTGCCAATGCTCTGTTTCATTTTATGATAACAGTTCATCTCGGCCGACCCGACTCCATGGTGCATGGAACACATCTTTGACTGGTGTGCTTACCGCGTCCAAAAAAGTGGTCCCTCGATTTCTGCCTGATGACGTCATGGAAGTGTCATGCTGTCGCCAGTTGCGATCCTGGTGGCGTCCCAGCAGCTGTGGTGTATGTGGCAGGTGCCTGTTCTGCTGCAGGTCGCTTTCACTCTGGCAGTCCACAGATGCTTCGACAGCCAAAAGTTGAAACGCCGGGACAACAGCGACACTCGCATTTGCGTGTGCTACTTGCAGCTTCTCGTTAAGCATTTATACGAACAACCGTCCAAATTGCGACGTGCAACAGCATGATAATCCAATTTCTGTGACGTCATTCGTTGCCACTTCGGGACCACTTTTGATGTATGGGTGGGATAGGAGGCTAGACACACCAGTCGGAGATGCGCTCCAGGCACCATACCGACGCTGTCAGCGTATCGGGTGACCTCGCGCTTGAAAAAGAGTAGGGCGTAGCACGCGACTGCTCCCTCATGTGCCGCTCCAAAGACTTCACTCTTAATTAAAAGGACACTGCAATGAAAAAAATATTTGCTTCTAGAAAAACAGAAAAATTTAAAAAAAAATATAATGACCCCCCCCCCCCCAAAAAATTTTTTGAGCAATATTTAGGTTGCTAGACGCAGTTTAGGTGCAGAAAGTGGAGGTCGCAGCTCGCTAAGCCCCGCCCCATGTTTACAAGGTGCTTATGTCTCATTGGTTGGAGAGAAAATTGACGTGTGAAAAGTTGGTTGTAAATTTGTATCTCCGTGCCGTAATAGTACTTCAATCGACTATATTTTTATGTTTGAGAAGCAACTAATCATGGTGAGTCATTATTGTTTTCGAATGTATTCAGAGATTGCCTTACCCGCTTTGGTTTGAAACGTTAACAAACTTGGCTGCCGGCATCTGCAGAGGGCTGAACGGAGCATAGTTCGTTGAGCTCGTCAGTTGTTAAGAGCGCAGGTCGTTTGTAGTTTACAGAGGTGTTTAGGGGAAGACCTCATAAGCTGACATGGTTTTCAGCAAACAACTGTTGCAAGTATGCTCCTTCAGAAGTGCTGTGTGGATGCTTGTCTTCATAGTGGGACTGGTCTGAGCCTAGCATCTCTATTTTGATCAATCTGGCTCGATTTCTTCCTTTGTGCGTGTTGGTGCTGTATAAAGATGTTGGTTCCCATAAAAGCGGCCCTGCTGCTCTGTGAATTGTGCAACGAGCGTTCGGCTTGTATCAAGTTGGTCAAGGTATGTTCCCGTCATTTCACTTTGAAAGGCATGTAGCTCAGGTTTTACGGTGTACCTGACCTTCCAAAGGGAATAATTTTACGTCCCATTTTAATTGTGCGTCATAACGTTCTCTCACCTCGCTCGTGGATGCCATGTGAAGTAAATAACAAGAACGTAAAAGCTGAAATGACTGCATATATATTTAATTGCGTTTTTTTAGTTCTCTCCGTCGCTTTTTACCACACATCTGCAGATGCTGACAGGCGCTTGTAATGGACCGTCACCCGCGCGTGATGAAATACTAGAACGCCGATTTCATTGTCGCATCTTGCGAGCGTTGTAAACATTTTTTTAGGCGGGGGCAGAATAGCAGACGGGCGAAGGCGAAAACGGACGCCGACGGTTAGCGTTCATGTCCGTGTCCTTCAAGCATGGCAGACGACGATAGATGGTGGTGAAATAGCAGGCGATGCCGAAAGCTGCTGCGCATCTGTTCACACAACTAGCAGGCGTTGTCAGACACCAGACTAGATGTGCCAAATGTTGGGAAAGGGAGACACCAGGCTTGTTAGTGTGTTCGGCTATCCAGTAGTAATGGGCGGGGCACATGATTGGTGTGCGTGGCTTAGAGCAGGTCGTGACCTCTACCTAAATTGCGTCTAACAACGTAAAGATAACGCGAAAGTTTTCTTCTCGTGAAAAAATATTTAAAAGATGTGTTTACAACTATGATGTTAAAAAAAAAAACATTTTTTTCCTTGCAGTGTTTCTTTAAGTGGTTCATACCACCGAGCCTGGATAGCTCATTCGGCAAAATACTTGGTTTGTAATCTCGAGGTGATGAGTTGAAATCCTGCTGGGAGACTGATGTCTTTATATGGTTCCTTATAGGCACAATTTTTTTTGGTGTTGTTACAGCCAAGGTGTTTCAGAACCCTGTGGAAATCGGCTGATAGAGCACATTCTGCATTAAAAAAAGTTTCAAAAGGTTGGGCTTGCAGCGGAATTGCCAGTGCTGACAACTGTTGCAAGCCAGAAATATTCCAGATTATGATTGTTATGTCTCCCGTGTTATTAAGCAAAGTTGTAAACTTTTGTGCTAAGACTGTTTTGTAGCGAGTGTTGCTGCCTTCAGCTTCATGAACGGCAGTCCTGAATATTTTTTAATTTAACCTAAATTCGCTTCAGTCCACCGTTATGTGCAACCTGCATTTGCTGCCAAGTAGGTTAAAGTAGTTCTATTAACCCCATAATGACTAACCTGAGGCTGGGGAAAAAAAATGGTCAACCACCCAAACACACTCGCTCACGTCTTGAAACATTGTGAGTGATTGTCCATTATTTTTTCATTTTTTCCAGCCTCGTGTTTATCATTATGGAGTTAGTTCATCAGGTTGCCCGCGTTTTTTTCCCGTGCAACAAATTGCCCGACGGGGAGGAAGCCATGGGAGTTCTCGCAGCCACGAGCAAAGCGTTTGGCTGATGGTCTGTCTGAGCAGTTCGTGGCACACGGTGTGAGCGGTCGTCCCTCTTCCCTTAGCTACATGCCATCTCGTCGGGCCTGAAGGCCTTCTGTTCGGACATGGCGGCCAAGGGCATCGAGACGTGCCGCCTGGCCTGTGGGGGCCACGGGTTCCTCCTCATCAGCGGTCTCCCTCGGCTGTACGCCACCACGGTGGCCGCCTGCACCTACGAGGGAGAGAACACCGTCATGTACCTCCAGGCTGCCCGGTAAGAGCCAGTCCCAGTTCACTCGTCTGCCGGAGGTTTCGCGCAATGTCGGTCGCAGAGAAAGATGATTGGTGGCGTTCTGGTCCGTGTTGAGGTACATGGCATTTCGGGTAACAACCGTAAAATACCGAGCATGCACCCACGTCGCTGACAAGCACCCACCCCCCACCTTTTAAATATAGGGCGGTTTCACGTGACACACTTCCGGCTCCAAATCTGCCCAGATGCCATGTTGATGAACTTTCGCCGTATGATTTTCTGCACGCGGAAGCGGCGTTTCCCAGCTCGGTCGAGTCCCTTTGAGTCGTGATTCACTGCATCTGCCCGACTGATCGGTGATACAAAGGTACTCGATTTTCACACAAATACTAGTCCCTATTTTCACTTAAGACTAGCCAGCAACGGAGAAGGGGACTCATCGACTGCCACAAAGGACCTATTAGATGAGGCCAGGGCAACTCTGAAAGGAAAGAAATGGGAATAGGCTGGGATTTATGCTCTCCAAATACGTCCCCAATCATACTTGGTTCGGTTGTCGATGGAGCTAGTCACCATGCTCTATTGTCTCACGGATGCCAGAAACAACGCCAAAAACTGAGCTTCTTCGCATAAACAAATGGCGAAAGTGGTGGACCCCCGTTCATCATTGTGGCAGAACGTGACTTATTGGGAAGGAAAAGTCGTTTCGTGAAACCGTCCCATTGGCTAAGGACACGTCAAGTGCGCACCCCGGCAAACTGCCGTGCCCACCAAGATAACGGGAGGCCTCTTCCTTCACATTAGCATTATTAGGAAGTCCATGGTAGGCATGATAGTGTGCCAATACTGCCTGTGTGTGCTACAGTCTCGGGGCTGACAGGGCGGAAATGCGGGTGATAAAAAATGGAGAGACCGTGCAGGCGCGCCGAAGTTGGATACGTTTTTGGGACCTAGAAAAATGAAGTATGCGCTTTAGATCCTTCCAAAATTGACCGAGTTCATGGTTTCCCATTACGCCCATTAAGTTTCTATTTGGATCTCGAGCTCAAGAGTTAAAGTATGCAAATCTCGATAAGAAGTCAATTATCCTAAATGCCACAAACCTCAATGAATTAATGCCGATCAGTACGGTAGCTATCTTACTTCTGTACGATGTATGGCTGCAACAATCTTGCCTTATAATACCATAACAGTATGCAAGGGGCATCACCATTTCCCGTATTTTTTGCAAATGCCTGGAATCGAGCTCAACTCTGGCCTTCTTTTAAATTTTGGTTGGATTTGCCCTCGAAGAAGGGAACATTTAAATCTCCACATTGCGGTGCAGAAGAAGTGAACGTCTTTTAGTGCACCGTGCATCGGTGTCGTCTTCGTCCTGCCAGTTCGCAGGTGCAACGATTTCTTCGATCGAAGCCATCTCGGCTGACTTCAAGGCGAAGTGCCACCCTACAAACCCCCAAATGGCGGGTTCGAATCCCTGCCAACATGCCTGCAATCGGAGGGAGCCTGTTCCGATGAAGGTGCCGCGTAACCGAGATTTTGGTTGCATATCAAAAGTCTTGCAGGCGGTCGAAATGAATCCTCGGTTTGGCACGGGAAACCCCGGAATTTGACTTGTGGCTTCTCCGGTCGCAGGTACATGATCAAGTGCCTGGCGCAGCCGCAGCAGCTGTCCCGTAACTCCACCTTCCGGTTCCTTCTGGAGCCCGGCACTCTACGCGTACCTCCGTTTAACGCCAGGCTCAAGGGTCGGGAGGCCATCAGGCAGCTGGTGCCATTCTACAGGGCAGCTGCATACAAGTAAGCCAGCCTTTCGTCTCGAGCATGGGCGCCTTCATCTTTGTTGGTTTGCTGTTTCTCTTCTGGCATGGTCGGTGCCACCTTGTCACGGTTAAATGTTGGCCTTTAAGGGACCTTCAACAAGACATTGATTCATACCTAAATTTTATGGACACACAATCTATTAGATGTCTTGGAGGAAACTGCTCGGCTTGAAGTCTTCGTCAAGTGCAGTGAGGGGACGATGGCACTTAATGGCATCCTTAGCGAGCAGCTCTCTGTCAGAAGTGAGCGGAAATACTCCACCGCTATTCCCCGTTAAAATTTTGACATCACGTCATGCAACACTGTGGCGTCGAACACCACAAGACACCATGCAGTCATGGGATACGGTAGGAGGCTTCAGGTTAATGTATTCAATTTTAGCATACGTTAGCACTAAATTTAGCACTAACATCATGCCAGAAAGCTTTAAAGTGGCGTTTCTTTTCTGCCACGCAAAACCGATGGGTATCTCGCACTTGCATTGTTGCCAAGATGCAATAATCATGATGTTTAAACCCTGAGACTGGGAAGGAAACTCGGGTAAAATTAGAAGAAAGGTGACAGACAAGCGTATCAAACTCGGCTAACAAAAATTTATTTTATACAACGCTTCTCCCAGGGTCGCCTACACATAAAAAAATAAAATAAGCAATCCTTGTTTCCAGGGTGGCTCAAATTCTAATCCAGTTTGTTCCAAACACACCAAGGTAGCAAACAATAATAAGAGATACTCAAAAGATTAAAACAGTGCAAAACGACGACGAACTGGATGAAGGAAGACACAGACAGAGCACTGACTCGCAACTAAATTTGATTGGACACAACAGTGCAATATATACACGCACAGTTGGAAAAAAAAAAAAGACTAATTCTCTTCCTTTTTTGTTCTCAACTGTGCATGTATATATTGCACTGTTGCCCCCAATAAAATTTAGTTGCGAGTCGGCGCTCTGTCTGTGTCTTCCTTCATCCGGTCCGTCGTCTTTTTGCGCTGTTGTAGTCTTGTATGTCGTACGAACTCGCCCAAGCTTCAACCTTAGCAATAACAAGAGGCCTAGGAGAAAACCTGACCAAAACGGTTCATCGAAACTAAGCCCTTTGACACACAGATACACAAAGAAATAAAAGAAAAATGTCACATGAAGTTACCAGGTTTCCCGCATACAAACTGTGCAAACTTAAAAAAACACAAAATCTTTAAAAAGAAAAAAAAGCAAGCAATCCTTGTTTCATTTTGATTCATAGGCACCAGCTCACCTGCACTTCGATCATTTTTTCGATAAAGGTATAACAACTTTTATTTTGTGTGCAAAACGCTGTAACTTGAAAGAGAAGAAAAAAATGGACACATCTCCACGTGGTGAATGATGTTGATTGGGGCGAAGCTCTGGTGGTGCTGATGATACTGATTTTATTGTTCATAGGTAGTGCTGATGGTGCTGATTTTTTTTTTCTATTGCTCATAGGTAGTGCTGAGCTCCGGGTTGCGTTTCGACTTCATTATTACTGCTTTATGGTCGGTGAAATGCAGAGCCAGTGGTTCTTCTAGCAGATCAGCTTGGATCCGCTATAAGCCGTGGAAACGCATCTTCACTGCTTAAGTCAACGGTCCATATCAAAAAGAGAATGTGTGGTATGGATCGTGGTTATGTACGCAGTTGAGCATTTGACCGCAGCGCCCTTTCGTCTATAAACGTTGAGCCAATGCATGCAAAGTTTAACACGATTATATACGCATTTGACCGCAGTGCCCTGTCCTGCATAGACGTTGAGCGGCTACATGCAACGTTGGAGTGTAGCGTAGTGGTTACGACATCTGCCTCGTAAGCAAGCAGTCCTAAATTCAAACCCCCGTGCAGGCGTACATTTTTTTTTTTTAAAGTGGGCCGATCCCAGAGGCAGTGCAATCGATGTGAGCACGGACTCCGGAAAGGCTGGACCCTAAGGAGCTTCACCCCTAAAACGGTTTTGCCTCAGTTTAATATTTGAAACTCGCTTAATATGAAAATACGATGCGAGTGGTTGACCAGTCATATCCGCTCGCATCGGCAAGAAATGTCTCGCTTACTGACGTGAGTTTTCGAAATCTATGTAAAGGAACTCCAAAAGCATAGTTTCAGAGGGAAGGAACCTAAGTAACTAATGGCAAGTCTCGGGCGTCGCAGCCCTCTGGTTTCAGATTGACTTGGTTTGTCTTTTGTTGTTCCCCAGCAAATGGGCAACTCTACAGAGCACGTTGCTTTAACATCATAATTTACTGGTTCGCATGAAAAAAAATAAACAATTTTTTTGGATTGTCAGAGGCATTTTAATGACACTAATATTTTGATGGTGACCTCAATCGGCGGTTCCATATGTTTTCTTCCGGATATTCGTGCGCCTTCCTTGTTGCAACATGATGCAAGGAGCGTAGCTGCGTTGTCACCTTTACGTTTGTCCCAATCTCAAAACATCAAAAGAAGACTCACAAGTCGGCGCGTTTCGTTAGCAGTGTCGGGTGGGTTTGCAACTTCGGTCTATCTTTTCTTCAAACAGACAAGTGCACAGGGCCGATGCAAAGGTGAAGAGCCTGATCAAGTCTGGACTGACTCCTGAGATTGCATGGAACCACAGCCAGGTCGACCTGATAATCGCCTCGAAGGTAACCACACTTTACAAAGCAGTATTGGAAACCTTGGTGCAAACAAATAAACTAAAATGCAGATTTTTTTTTCTTTTTTTTCTTTAGAATGCGTTTTGCAATGTTACATTTCAGGGCAGGGTACCTACCTCATCGTACACTTTTTAGAGTAACTGATTCTAGAAAGATTGCCTTTCTGCCTTTTCTAGGTGCTTCCCCTAAATAAAGGCTCTTAACCCATTGCATAATATTTTTTTATAGCGGAGCTGTTAAGGGCTAGTTTTGCCAGTATCGTGTCCGTAGGCAAATAAATGTTGACGCAAAACTCTTGACAGCTACCGCCATCTATTAGCGACGGCGGCAACCAGACCACCGGCTTGCCAGTTGTCCGGTTTCCGTCGTCGCTCATAGATGGCGGCAACCTTTCCAGGCCTTTCCACTCTGCTTTTCACCAGAGTGGAAAGGCTGAATTTCTCAAGGCGTAGTTATAGAAATCGTCCTTGAGGACGACGTTCTCTAGGAGTCGTCCTCGAGGTCGTTTTAGAAGTCATCCTAGAGGAGGCTAGATGTTGACCTTGAGGTCATCTTAGACGTCCTTGAGGTCGTCCTTCAGGTCATACGAGACGTTGTCCTCGAGGTCGTCCTAGAAGTCATCCTTGAGGTCGTCCTAGACGTCCTCGAGTTCGTTTTAGAGGTCATCCTTGAGGTTGTCCTAGACGTCCTCAAGGTTGTCCTAGAAGTCATCACTGAGGTCCTAGAGGTCCTAGAGGTCGTCCTAGAGTTCGTCCTTTAGGCGTCGTCCTTGAGGTCGTCGAAGAAGTCTTCCTTGAGGTCGTCCTAGACGTCCTCTAGGCATTGTTTAGACGTAAAGATAACAGCTTCGCTGGTCCTCTATCTTCACATGAAGTGGAAGGGCTGTACATTTTTCAAAGGAACATACCGTATTTATTCAATTCTAAGTCCAGCACAAATATAGGCCGACCCCCCCCTATGTTCAACTCGGCAAGAAAAAAAAGAAAATATTCGAATATAGGTTGACCCTAGTATTTAAGAGGGCGCGGTACCTCCATTTATTCGTCCGTTTCAGCCACCAGATGGCGCGCGGCTCGAAACGTGGTTGAACGCGCAACTTCTAGATGGCGCCACTATCGAGGTGTGAAAAGGCCCGCAATATCCGCTGCGTGAAATAGATCCCGAAATGTGCCGTGTTCCCCCGGCGGAGGAAGTTTCTCCCTCCCTCGCGCGCGCTTGGTATGTACGCGCGGTGGCCGAGTCCGGCCTCTGCGCTGTGTGATGCAGTGGGTGGCGCTCGTTTCTGTTCGGAGGTAGGAATAAAAATGCCGGTCCCCTTTTTTACGACGCTCGTTTCTATAGCTTGTTTTCTTTTTTTATCTCAAGTGACCTACAGTACCGCCTGTTCGAAATCGTCCTTTGCGGTGAGCGATTGAGAGTCAGGTTAGCATTTTATTTTGGGTCAGCACTACACGTTCAATGGAGACCTCGGGCGGCGATGTAAATATGCATTGCTCCCCAAAGTGTGTCCAAGGTGCGCAATGACAATTGGAAAGGGTATTGAAGGCGCGCGACCGTCGGTTGGTAAAATACGTCCGTTAGATTCACTTATTCAGTCTAATCATTTTTGCCAACATCTTTTATCTGTTTCGACAAATGACATGGTCGAGTCTATTGATAACCTTAGCTAGATTGGACGTACGGAGTGTCTGGGCTTTAAATAAATTTGCTTCGTTTATGTGAATGAATAACTGTTTTCTCTTCTCCGTGCTCGGTGCTTTGCAAAAATCGCTTGGATGTTATGGTAGCGCAGTGTGGCGGCGTTTTGCACGCTGACTCGCTATTGCATTCGCTGTGCACAATATGTGTTCAGATGGAATGTGCCAAATCGTATTTCCGATCGATATGATAGATTTACTTTGCTACAGTGTTAATTATATTTTCCTGATTTAAACTGGTTCGTCCCTGATCTGAGCCTAAGTTCAAATTCGAAGGGCAGACAGACTTAGCGTCGTAACAGCCGTAATGCGCAGAAAGAAATTAGTACCATGAAAGAAAAACAAAAGGATACGAGGTGGCTCAGTGTTATAGAAGTAATGAGTGTGCAAAAGATGCCATCGTACGTGTTTTTGTTTGTTTTTTTAACTCTCCGCATCGCTGGGAAACGCTCAAGGTACCAGCAAAGACAGCGAGCTGGCGTGAAATTTCCATCGAGCGGAAAACGAGTGTCATTTTTATTTCATCATGCGCTTTCATTTTAATATGGCTCAAAATGGGCGCGAAATAGTAACAGGTAAGGCAACAAAATTTAGATGTTAGGTCTGGAACACCGCCATACTCAGCCATCTTGGGGGCATCTCTCGCGAGTCAATACGGCAAAGGTATTGCGCGTCGAACTGTACGTGAGTGTTATCCATTTCAGCGAAACCTTGATTTCGCAAAACTATTGTGGCTCGAGTCGTGGCTTCCAGTACTTGGAAGCCACGAGCGAGAAATAAATGACACTTGATTTTGAAGGACAGTCGCGACGTGGAAACCCATAAAAGAGAGTTCCAATAAGACGAGAGCTTCCCCTTCTCTTCAAGTGCGTGGGTTACGCTCTCAATCCTGCACCTGTGGTAACACTGCAGGCTCCTAAAATCGCTTTGAAAACGTTCCTGGTCGCAACAACTTTTTTTTTTTTTTTTTTTTTTTGTCGAGGCGTTATTTAATTTTTTTCTTCTTTTTGTCTACCTTGATACCCCATCAGCGCAAAAACTACCATAAACTAAAAAAAAAAAAAAAAAAAATAGTGGGCATACAACGACAACGCACCCACTGGGACCCGAGTCAAGGCAAGAACAACTAACTACTAAAAGGGGAAAAAAAAATCATGTTCGCATACACAGACAGAACGCCTCCATCGAAAGAAATGAATCATGCGCTTGTTCTGCCAGTCTCGTTGTGCGTCTGTCAAAAGCCACAAAGGAGGAAGACAATCAGCGCCTACACCACTCCCCTTCCCCCCCCCCCCCCCCCCCCCACCACCCCTAAAAAGAAGAAAAGAAAGATTTCTTGGGCGCGCGCGCGGTCGCCCATGCGATGACCTTGGAAGGGTATGCGATTGTAGCACGTTTGTCCCCCGGTTGTGCCCCTGTCTCAAATGCCACGGTCCGTTTCTCCCAAGTGCCTGTCTTCCCGAGTATCAACTCCGCTGTGATTCTAAATCATTCCGATGCTTTCCAACGTTGCAAAACTGTTAGACGAATATTTGCACAGAAGTATACACTGTTCGCAGAACTATCTACGGCGCTAAAATTCAAAAGCGCCGTGTTGGATTCGGGAACTCGTGTAGGTTTAGCTCATTGTTGGAACATTCTTATTCGCTCGATGAACTCCACAAAACGTGTAAATATTAGAATGAACTTTCCAGAGAACGATAGTTGTTGTCGGGGTTCCAGGCGACCGGACAGGTCGCAATTATTGGCTGATTAAAAATTTTATTTTATAATCACAATCGTATCATCAAGGGCACGCCATTTCCTAATCACTTCTTCTACGAAAAGAGTTGCTGTATTCGTAGCACACACAGACGGAAACGGTTGAGACTGTGCTCAAATAATATCTTCTTTTGGCAGGTACTGCGCAGCGATTACACACAATGCCTCTAACATAAACATGCTGCTCCACATGTCTATTCACAAGATGCAATACATCGTTCTCCCAACTTTGTTGAAATGGGCATGAAAGCGCGTAACCGTCACTTTTTTAAAGTTCTACTTAGAGGTGAAGTGTTTACCGTAAAAAGTCGTTAATTATTTATTTTTTTCCGTTCCACTACAAAGCTCGATTCACTTAAATTTTTGTTTTTATATTGTCTCTACAGCGCTTTTACGTCGGTACTTTCGTGTTAAAGGACATCACATAATGTGCAAAAAAAAACACAAAAAAATGGTAGGATCGATGCTGCATAGCCTTTTTTTGTGGACATCAAGAAAGAAAAAAAAAAGATAGTAGTTGTCTTTACTTCGCACTGCATGTTTTAGCATGGAAGTTCCTATTTGGTTATGATGTCTTTATTTTCTTAAAAATTGTATACAGTAATTTAAATTACCGAATTACAAAAACGTCGAAATTGTATAATTGCTTTTCGTTGGGACGCCATGACGACAGCGACACTCGTGTTCCCTCGTGGTTTTCGCCAGCATTTCTACGATGAATTGCCAGGATCGCGAGATGCAACAGCGTGACACTCCGTCTTCTGTGACGTCATTTGTTGCACTTCGGGACCACTTTTGATGTATGGCCAGCATAAGACGCTAAACACACCAGTCGGAGACGCGCTCCAGGTGCCATAGAACTGCTCCTAAAAGTAGCTGTCACGTGCTTTGCTCCGCGACTGTGATTCCCTCACAGCAGCTCTGACTGAGGGTTGCCAAATTACGGTGAAACGGAGTATAGACAAAACAGACCGGAAACGAGCTGCCAGCATGCAATAGTCAAACTCCAACAAAAAGGATTAGTTTCTTCCCAAGCTGGACGACATTTACCGGGCATCTTCAGAGTTGCGAAGCTCAAAATCACGCGTACTCATAAGATGTTTTTTTTCTCGCGTGTTTGTGATTTTTATGGTGTCCTGCAAGCAAGAAAAAAATATATATGGTGAAGTCACTCCGAGGGGGTACCGATAACTGCGAGCCACGAACATGAAGGATTCGCTAACATCCGTCAGGAGTGTGAACGGTAAATCGTCACGCAAACATATTCTCACAAGCTGCAAATATTTATTTGGCTTAGCAAGTAGAATACTAGTATACTAACGACATGTGATTATTGTACACAAGATACCATTTCTCGGTTCTTCAAAACCATTTCCCTAGTCTGAACGGTCGCGCTACGGGCCGCGGCTAGCCGTGCCCTCGATAGACTACGGAGCTGCGTTGTGTCGTCTGCTACTGTACCGCCAACAGGAGAGCGATAGCTCTGTGTGCTCCACAGATGCGTGTTGCGGTATAACTCTGTACGTCTGT